TTAACCCACAGCGCCACACCAGGACTCTGATAATGATACTGAACATCAATAAACTAAATGCACCAGTCAAGAGACAGAGAGGAGCAGAATGGATAAGAAAACAGGATCCTTCAGTATGCTGTGTAAAGAGATACACCTTACACACAAAGACACAAACAGACTAGAAATGAAAGGATGGAAAACAACAAACCAAGATAACAGCAATCAAAAACAAGTAAGAGTGGCAGTTTTAATTTCTGATAAAATAAGACTTTAAAACAAAACCCAGCATAAGACACCTCCATAAGAGACAAAGAAGGACATTATCTCATGATTATAGGGTCACCTGAACAAGAGGACATAATCACATACCTATGCTCCCAATGAAAAAGCCTCAAAATACATAAACCAAACTCTAATAGAATTGAAAAAAGAAATAGAAAACTACAATAATAGAGTCAATCGCCTCAGATACATGTGAAAGCTGGATGATAAACAAGGAAAATCAAAGAAGAATTGACGGCTTTTGAATTATGGTGTTGAAGAATGATATTGAAAGTACCACAGACTGCCAGAAAAACAAACAAATCAGTCTTGGCAACCAAATGCTCCTTAGAAACCAAGATGGCAAGACTTCGACTCATATGTTTTTGACATGTTATATGAGGGACCAGTCCCTGGAAAAGGACATCATGGAATGACACAAAAGCTGCAACAATAGGCTCAAACACAGTAAGGATTGACAAGGTAGCATTTGTTTTATTGTGCATAGGGTAGCTAAGGAGTCCTGGTGTGCTGCTGTAGGGTAAGTACTAGAACAATCACAAGGTCAGCTTAAACCACACAGTCAGTGGTAGAAATTCACTAGCTGCTCCTCAAAAACCCTATATGTGATGAACTGGAATGAACTTGAGGGCACTAACAACAACAGGGTCACTGAGTTGCAGCTAACTCGACAGCAACAATGTGCTATGGTCAGAACTGCCATTTTAACCAATACAACGATGCTTCACATCATTGATTTCACCAGCATGCACTACAGGCACATAACAGCTATTATTTGTTGCTGCCACTATTTTTCCAGCTGTCAAAATTTCTGGTTAAAACACCAGAATATTATTTAGTTGGATATCAACAACTTTTTAGTTATATTTATTCAGTTAATTAAACTAAATATTAATTTAGTTATATCAATAATTTTTTTAAGAATGAAGCAGTAATCAAAGGAAAAGCCAAACCCACTATCAACAAGTCAATTTTGACTCAGAGCAGCCCAACAGGACAGAGTAGAACCGTCCAAGGCTGTACATGTTATGGAAGCAAACTGTCATATCTGTCTCTCACCAAGGTTGGTGAGTTCAAACTGCCCACCTGTGGTTAGCAACTGAGCTCTTAATCACTGTGCTACTAGACCTTAAAGGAAAACGAGGAGAAAACTTAAAAACAATTCATACTCACTCAAAATTTACCACCATTGAGCGGATTCCAAATGACAGCAACACTATAGAGGACAAAGTAAAACTGCTCCTTAGGATTTCCAAGTCTAAATCTTAATGGGAGCAGACTACCTCATATTTCTCTCTCAGAAGAGCTAACCTTACTTACGGTTAACAGCCCAATGCTTAGTCTACAGGAACTACCAGGGTTCTCAAAATCTAAGAAATATTAGAGTTAACCCTTTCAAGACCAAATTTTCTGCTTTGGATTTTCTGTTGAAACCATGTGTTTTCGGTAATGGAAGGCATTGTTAATGAAATGGCAGGTGAAAAAAAAAAGGTAATATACAGATTTTGATACAATTGTTGTTGTTCTTAAGTACAATCGAGTCGGTTCTGACTTGGGTTTCCAAGGAGTGGCTGGTAAGCTTGAACCGCTAGCCTTGCAGTTCAAACCGACCTTGCAGTCCAGCATATTAACCCACAGGGCCATATCAGGACTCCTTGATACAATTAGTAAGACACATATGTCTTGAAGGACCTCTGGTGCTGAGGTTGGGGAGATGAGGACCATTTCTTCAGATTCATGCAGTTATACAGGCCCCACCAAATGGCAACATGAACTAAAAGTGAGATAGCAGCTTCTCACTAAATCCCAGAGGCAGAAAACAGAGGTGGGCATTATATGTCCCAGGTCACAAAAAGGTTAGGTAAGTAACAATTGCATTTATCTTCTATGTATGACTGTATGATTAAAACTTGTAACAGACATTACTAAGGGTTCTGTATGGTGGGGTATGGGAGGAGGCCCATGAGTGGGGAGTGACAACAGGAGCGGTACCGCACTGGCTGACACCAACCCCAGTAACCCCACTGCTCATGGAGAGCCAAGTGTTACAGAGTCAAAATGAGCACCACAAGGTTTTCAAGCCTGGTACTTTTTGGAAGCACACTGCCGGGCTTTATTTCCAAGGTGCTTTTGGGTGAGTCTGAATAGCCAACCTTTCAGTTAGTAGTAAAGCATTTAACCATCTGTGCCACCCAAAACCAAGTACTATACTGATATAAAAACGACAACTCACATACTAGCTGAAAACCCCACATTATTCCTAAAGTTATATTTTAGAACCTTAAATAGTCCTTAAACAATTAGCCCTCACCAACTTTACTGAGATAAACAATCAAAACTTTCTATACCACATCCCTCAAAAAAAGGCATAATACAATTGTTGTTTTTTTAATGTTCAATCAATGTCATTAAATTCTTGGAACAGATTTTAGCCCTACTGAACCCAGATCTCTAAATGCAGGGGCTAAGTATCAACATTTTAACAAGCTCCCAGGTGATTCTTATGCATTTAAGTTTTAGAACAACTGGCATAAAGGGTGTGGCAGATACTGCTTTGACTTGTTCAAGGTTCTAAGAATTACAGGACAGAAATAGACACAGAACTCAGAAATCTTGATTAACGCACCACCCACCACAGCATGAGTAACTCCCAAAAATACAGCACTGTGAGATGACAAAAGTATTGAAACACATTTAAAGTTAGGAGGGTTCATATGCAAAACTTCCAGTTTTTATGGCCTCATGTGTAGAAAGCTAGAATTTGGTCACCATTCCTTCTATAAGGAAAGATTCACGGGAAAGGTAACACACAGGACAAAAAAAGGGAGAAAGTATTATCAAATTCCAAAAGCTCCCCTAAGCAAAGGACAGAATTCTAAAATGTGTTTGTATGAGTACTAAATATGAGAAAAAAGGATGATGTAATCAGAAGAATTAAGCAGACTTGGTTGGACTGAAACGTAAGTAAGTGCCTTCAGTATTATGCAGAAGACATGGTGCCCAGAAAAGCTGAAGACAATACATGGTCAGTTTTCTTCAGTGCATGAGCATGATTCACCAACCTACCCAAAGTTATATGAAATTATCCCTTAAAGGATTAGTTTCACAATGAAAATGAATACATTTGCCTTATGATTCTAGGCATTCTGTGTGAAAATGAATCAGCTTTCTAGAAATCTGATGACCTTGTTGAAATGAATTAAAGGCCTCCATACTTTGACCCCACTCCCCCAACTCTTCACTGATTACACTATTAAAAAGGGAAACAATATGTTAAATCTTGCAGTTACTGAAGATGTTAATTAAAAGATGAGAGGTATTTAGAAAGAGGTAAGGGAAGGCTAGCCAGTGGACTGTCAAGAACCCTACTACATAGCATTATCTTCTGTTTTTTATAGTCCAAGATCTGACTCAGCACTAAAGGCCCGGAAAATCACCTTAACAAGACTTGAAAAATGACCAGATTCAGAGATGCTGATTAACCCTTTCTATAGGAATTTTTAAGAAACTAGATACATGACATTGCTGTGGTAGACAGGATCCGCTCAATAATCAACGAACACTAACTAGATACTGCTATGAAGTGACTCTTCAGATGGAATTAATGTAGACCTTAAAGTAAAGATTATCCTGGATAATCAAGGTATGTCAATATAATCAAGAGTCTTTAAAAGTAAAAGAGCACAGGATCAGGAATAGACACAGGATAGCTGGGGAAGGAGGGAATATACAAGAAGGGGAAGGGGAATGGAAGAACAAGGCAGATGGGAGAACAGTTAGGCAGGTTTGCATGGGCTAAGTGGGACAGAGGTAAATAATGACTTATGCACAACCTTGGAACAACAGAGCTCTGGGATTCAGGGATTGAGGCATTGTTTGAATGGTAAAAGGGGGGAAATAATGTTAAGATGCTTGGCTGTCTTTTGAATCTTGGTTTCCCTCAGATACCATTGTAAAATAGACAGTTGAGGGGGAGAGAAAGGAATAGTCAGAAATATCACCACAGAAAGCTTGTAAGTCCGTCTTCTGCTTATAACTGATTGGAATACCTAAAATGGGGCTACAATGTGCCAGTGAAGGAGACTTCCTATGGAGCCTCTGCATTGCAAAAGACCACAGGAAGAATCCTGAACCCCATCCAGAATCTTCTGAGAGTTAAGTTATAAAATGAACACACAGCAAGTGAGACAATTAGTACATAAAGTCACACTGACCAGGCAGACTGATTTTTAGGCCAGAGTAAGACTTGGCTGTAACTTAATTAATTGTATTGCCACTTCTGAAGAAAGAATGAGAGGCCATGGGAATAGGTACACCAGTAAGCCTAAGTGAATATTTGATCTGCTTGCAATTATATATGAGGGGGCATCAACATGAATAAGTAGAATAAAAAGATAACAGAATTTTCCCACAAACTTTTGAAGCCCCCTTGTATACCTTGGTCAAGATAGTGTTGTCAGTCAGCTCATATTAAGCATATAACTCAACCTCTTAGCTCACCAAGCAGTTTTCTGACATTTGATCTCCCACATATTTTTATATCAGTAAATTTCAAAACATACTTCAAGTTACTTCAAAATATAAAACAAAAATCTAAGTACATGAAACTACTTTTGGATTTAAATACCGTAGAAGAGCTACCACAAAACTCTAAAAAAAAATTTTGGTGAGATGAGGGCTATTCCTAGTACAATACTTGAAATATGTGTGGAAAATCCATGCAACTTCATCATTACCATTATTTCATAGGTATGATCACTTTGATGCTTCTTGTACTCAAAGCCTCGAGTAAAACACTGCAAAAGAAAGAAAATTAAGTTACAAACAAGCTACTTCTTGAAGTGCTTTCTTATAGTATAGGAGATGGTTTGTGGGTACTCTACTATTGTGATGAGAAATTTATTTAACCTCATCTGCACTTGCACTAGGGGCTTCAAAAGTTCAGTATAAAACGGAATGAAAAGATAATGGAATTTTTCCACTAATTTCTTGACGCCCCCTTGTATACTAATGATCACAACTATTCAGTGGCCCTCAAAAAAGTAAAAAAATAATTTGTTTTTCTAGGGCAACTCCTACTCTGATAATCTGGAATCAGATTGCCTACATTTGAATCCCAGCTCCATTCTTGTATTATCTCAGCAATTCAAAGAAGTATTTTGTTTTCATACTTTAAAATCAGGATTCAGCTTGTAACTGAAGCATATTATAATTTCTATCAGCCATTTTTACACATTTTAAAATTTATGAAATAATCAATGGCATCTTGGATCTTGGGCAAGTTACTTAACCTTTCTTCGCTCCATGTAAAAGGGGATAATAATACTTACTTCAAAGAGTTTGTAGTGATGATTACATAGGTTAATTCATGTAAAGTACTCAGCATAAGCACTTATAATAATTAATATTATCCAAATAGCCACAACATGTTGTCTCACCTACCCAGGTATCATTTTCATCCAGATAATAAACAGTGCCATAAATAGCACCACAGAAGCTATCCAAAGAATAGTCCTCCAGCTCTGTTTCCTGTAGAGCTGATATTTTAAACCCACTGACAAAAACAATGCTGAACATTAAGTTGATACAGAGATAAGGAATAGTCAACATTCTGTCTCAACCACCTGCTGTATTCCCCAATTTTTCACTGGTAAAATGTGGAACAGAGGATTGACTAGAAGATATAGACTTCATAAAGAATAGCCCTCCTGACCAATCAATAATAATCTCTGAATTTACTGTATCCATAAAATTAGGCTAGGAGAAACCAGTCTCTTAGTGAGTTACCTGCAAGCACAGAAAAAAAGGAGGTGGCCCACATTCAGCACACTTGATATAAGGCTCCATGAGGTAGGAGGAGCAGCCTCGGCAAGGTGGTTTATCTGAAGGATCATCTACAACAAAGAGAAAACAAATATACTCACTTCAAAACATCCTATGATTATTTTAAGTGCAAGGCAGTGAAAATCTGTAAACAACCTCATGGGTATTAACTGGGCTCAGTTCGTTCCAAACAAGAATAAACAAAATTATGCTTTTTACTTCAGGGTAATTTTGTTACTTTCTGCAGTCAAGTTCTGGTGTGGTGCTGTAGGATCAGCAGTAGACTGCTAACCACAAAATTTATGGTCCAAACCCACCATCTGCTCCTTGGAAACCCTATACAGAATTGACTCCATAGCACTTAACAAAAGTTAAATATACTACTTCAAACAGTATTTAAATGTTCCCTGCAGAGAAATTTACAAACATAAACGTTAACTGGAAATGTCATGATGCCAGAAACTTATTTTCCAATGGTTCAGGTCGGGTGGAAAAATGAACACACATCTACATAAGTTTGTTGTTGTTGTTAGGTCAGTTGAGTTGACTCCCAACTTATAGCTGACCTTATGGACAACAGAATGAAACACTGCACCAACCTCACAATCGTTTCTACGCTTGAGGTCATTACTGCTGCCACTGTGCCAATCATTCTCACTGGGACTCTTTCTCTCTCGATAATCCCCCACTTTACCAAGCAGGATATCCTTTTCCAGGGACTGGTATCTCCTGATAGTATGTCCAAAGTATGAGAGATGAAGTCTGCCCACCCTTGCTTCCAAGGAGTATTCTGACTGTACTTCTTCCAACAAAAACTGGTTTGTCCTTTTGGCAGTCCATGGTACTTTTAATATTCTCCTCCAGTTTTCTTTATTCACAATTCAACTTTCAAATGTATATGAGGTTGCTGAAAACACTGTGGCTTGGGTCAGGCATACCTGAAGTCCTCAAACTGACACCTTTGCTCCTAAACCCTTTAAAGAGGTCTTGTCCAGCAGATTTGCCTAATGCAATAATATATTGTTTGATTTCCTGACGGCTGTTTCCCTGAGTGTTAATAGTTGATCAGAGCAAAATGAAGTCTTTGACAACTTCAATCTTTTCTCCATTTATATGGATGTTGTTTATTGGTCCTGTGGTGAGGATTTTTGTTTTCTTTACATTGAGGTGCAATCCATACCGAAGGCTGTGGTCTTTGATCTTCATCAGTAAGTATTTTAAGTTGTTTTCACTTTCAGCAAGGTTATATCATCTGCATATCTCAGATAATTAATAAGTCATCCTCCAACCCTGATGCTATGTTTTTCTACATATAATCCAGCTTCTCAGATTATTTGCTCAATATAGACTGAATAAGTATAGTGAAAGAATACAACCCTGGTGCACACCTTTCCTAATTTTAAACCATTCAGTATTCCCTTGTTCTGTTTGAACGACTGCCTCTTGGTCTATGTACAGGTTCCTCATGAGCACAATTAAGTGTTCCAGAATACTCATTCTCCACAATGTTGTCTATAGCTTATCATGATCACAAAATCAAAAGCTTTTGGCAATAAAGCACAGGTAAACAGCTTTCTGTTATTCTCAGTTTTCAGTCAAGATCTGATGTCAGTAGTGATAGTCCTCGTTCCAAGTCCTCTTCTGAATCCGGCTTGAACCTCTTGCAGTTCCCTGTCAATACAGTGCTGCAGCCATTTAAAAAAATAATTTTTAGCAAAATTTTCCATGCAATACTAATGATATTGCCAGATGATTCCTGCATTCGTTGGGTCACCTCTCTTTGAAATGGGCATAAATATGGATCTTTTCCAATCGGTTGGCTAGGTAGTTATCTTCTAAATTTCTTGGCATAGATGAGTGAGTCTCTCCGATGCCACATCAATTTGTTCAAAGATTTCAATTTGTATTCTGTCAATTCCCAGAGCCTTGCTTTTCAGTATAGCTTGGCTTTCTTTACTCAATACCATTGGTTCATATGATACATACATCTTGAAGGGGTTGAACACCAACCATTTCTTTTGGGTACAGTGACTGTTTCTACACAATTAGATACAGTAAATCTGACAAAATGTTAGCAGTTGTTTAGGTAGTGGACATGCCAGTAATCACTGTTTTTTTCTATTTTCTATTTGAGTTGGATTTAAACTCAAGAAAGCTTTTTTCCTTCTTTACTTCCATGCTAAGCATAGAACACAGTACACCATTCTCCAGTTTCAATGAACAGTATTAAGTTTCTATACTATTAAAGCAATGAATACAATCCAAATTTTCAAAGGCCAAAAGAACACAATATATGTTTCCCTAGTGTCCCAAACTCTGCTTCTCTGGAGTCAAGGCAATTTAGTAAATTGTTCTCTGTGATCAATGGTAGGAGTCTAAGAAAACACAAGCTTTGATGGTTGATGAAGGGATTTTATTTGTTTAGCCTGAGGCAGGATTTTTCATTCTATAATAGCATTTTCCTACCTAAAGCTCAAGAAAACACTCTTTAATGCACCTTTCGCTCCTCTAAGATGTATTAATCTTTTTTCAGTTGTTTCTAAATGAAGATCTGGAGGAAACTGACATGGGTAAGAAATGTAATCCTTCTGGCAGTCAGTACCCACTCCTCCCTTTTTAAACTATAACACAGAAGAACAAAAATTGTTTAATATTAAGCAGTAGATGCCAATTTTTACCAAATCACCTGCGTCCTTACTTTGTTATTTTACTGATTTAAGTTTGCTTCTCCTTCCTCAAGCCCCTCTTAAAAAGCATCAGTCATTGATCAGTGTAGAGAGTCTTAAACTGAGGTAAATTTCACAAAACAAAATCATTTTAAAGTATACAATCAATGGCATTTAGTACATTCACAATGTTGTGCAACCATCATCTTGATTTAGTTCCAAAGCATTTTTATCATCCCCAAAGACCCTGTACCTATTAAGCAACCACTACCTACTCTGCCCCTTCCTCAGTCTCTGGCAAATCACCAATCTGCCTTTAATCTCTATGAATCTAACTATTCTGGATATTTCATACAAATGAAATTATGCAATATGTGACCTTTTATGTCTGGCTTCTCTCACTTAGCGTGCTATTTTCCAAGTTCATCCACACTGTAGTTATGTATCAACACTCCACTCCTTTTTATGGCTAAATAATATTCCATTATGTGGATAGAACATAATTTAGTAAAGAGCTTTTAAATTCTCTGATCCTGAAACAATTATTTTGTGAAAGGCAACCCGTATCTATAGTTGTTAAGATTTTAGACATAAAGGTATATAGAATAAAGTATAAATCACCCATCATGACTCTACCAAGAAATGGTCACGATTAACATTTTGATATTCTTACAGCCTTATATCTATGTATATGTATTAAATAAAAATGGGGTAATATACATGTTTTATAAGGACCCCTGGTAGCACAATGTTTATGTACTCAGCTGATATCCAAAAGGTCAACAGTTCAAACCTAACAGTTACTTTGCAAGAGAAAAGACCCAGTGATCTGATCCTAGGACAGCCTATGGGGCAATTTTTCTCTGACATCTGGGATTGCTATGAGTCAGAACGGTACATGTTTTGTAGCCTGCTTTTTCACTTGACAATATATTGTGGACATCTTTTCATGACAGTACATACAAATCTTCCTCCTTCTTTTTAATGGATGAGTAATACTACACTGCAATTAACTATCTAACCTAGGCTCTCAACATGGGTGATACTGCCCTGGAGGAGGATATTTTTGGAAATCTGAGGAGGTGCTTTTCAGTTATCACAATAACTGAGCGGTGCTACTGGTATTTAACAGGCAGGACCAAGGAGGCTAGAAACCTTACAACGCTCAAGGCAGTCCTATGTAGTACAAATGATCTGTGTCTTGCACAACTTTCAAATGTCTCATAAGACAGTCAAGTTAGCAAAAAACCTGTTCATATTTATACAAGCCTAGAACCAAATTATACATAGAACACAACTTATTTTTGACAGTTTCACTAAATATACCATTTTCTAAGAAGGCAACAGCATGTATTCTGAAGATTCCCCTTTCCTTGGCCCCACAAGAACTTTATAAGGAGTTATGCAAACTTGTGGTATTTCTGAATCACCAATATAATATGTGAGTCATTCTGCATTTAAGACTCACAGTGATTCAACAAATGGGTGTAAGCATTTGACTAATCAAGTCATTGTCTTCTACAGGCAGTCCCTGGGTCTCCAATGTTCAATTTGTAGACAACTTGGACTTGCCCTTTAATATTATATAAATTTGCTCTCACTTTTAAATGAACGAACCAGTTCCTACTCACAACAAATTCTTCATCACAATCACCTCCACATGCAGCTTTTAAAATCACTGAAAAGGCTTTGAGCCTTCTCTTGCACTTAATAAAAACCCTACGCACATAGTCCCACTTACCTAAATCTGATTTAAAGACACTCTTAAGACTGGATCTTGTTCGTAACCTGCAGACTGCCTGTACTGTAGTCACACCTGAACATATTGAAATACATATTATTTGATGATGCATTGCATTACTTTATTAGAAGTTACTTTCTCTTTGCTTCTCCTTTGTATCATAGTCAGGGCACGTTTATTTTTTAATTTTTAAATCACACCAAATTTTATATGTTGTGCTATTAAGTGCCATCAAGTCAGTTCTGATTCACAGCACCCCTGTATAGGGTTTCTGAGGAGCGACTAGTGAGTTTGAACTGCCAACTGTGTGGTTCAAACCGACCTTGCAGTCCAGTGCTTTATCTTATAGCACCACACCAGGCTCCTACATGTTATATATTTATATATTAAATGTCTGCTATATAATCTATGAAGTCCTGGTATGGTGCTGTAGGTTAATTGTGCTGGACTACAAAGTTGGTTTGAACCACAAGGTCAGCAGTTCAAGTTCACCAGCGGCTCCTCGGAAACCCTATACAGGGTCGCTATGGGTTGGAATCAACTCAATGGCACTTAGCAACAACAAACATTATTGATGCATTTCATTTCCTAATTTTAAAACAGCCTTTTAAAATTATAAAAAGAAACTACTGGTTCTGATTGAGATATAATCTAGCCAGTTCCC